AAGAATGAAAGATAAAACCCTAGAAAGGTGAAGAGGTAGCCTGAGCATCCAAGATCCTCCTTCAAAGGGGTGGAAGAGAGAGTGTTTGCTTCGTTTCTGCCAAAGATACAAACCCTAGGACGTCCTAAAGCTTATATACTATTCTAAAATTATAGAAAATTTAGGCCCAAGCCCATAAGAGTGCCGCTGAGCGGTAGTTGCGGCTTCTCCTTTTACACTTTTTGATGTCTTTTCTGATTCCATCTCTCTCCTTCTTCACTTCTTTCACTAAATTCACCTTAAAACCTGCACAAAAACACTGAAATCAAGCATAAACCTGTTCAGCTCTCTTATTTCTGAAAATATGAACAAAAGCATGATTTCAAGCTAGTTTCTAAGTGTTAAAGGTTGCTTTTAGTATCAATTTTAAGCATGAAAATAACAGTTTTTCAACTGTTATCAATGGGTCATATTGATAGCTATTGATATCCTATTCCAAAGATAAATGTGATCAACTTAACTCTTATATTGAATATATATAAAAAAATAAAGATAAAAATTCATAAATTTATTATCTTAATGTATTGTTTTAAAAAAAAGTGGTATGAGTACATTATGTATATTGGATTCAGATTTCATTTATGTTTTCTTAATGAATTCTCTCTTCAAATAATTCATCACACAGAACTCATTCTTTTTTATTTGAATTAGATTCACCAGTACAAAAACAACATACAACGCCAAATATTTTGGACCTTTTACGTCGAATTCGTGAACGATGTCATATCGGGAGACGTTAAATTGACGTCAAATTTAAAAATTCGACGTTAAATTTAACGTCAAATTTTATCAATAAATGACGTTAATCAATTTTTTAATTTTTTAATTAATTGTGATCCTTTTTTACAACTCTACGAGATCTGAAAAGTAGAAAAACAATAAATTTGAGTTTTTCGTATTTTGTAAAGCATGAACTATGAATGTGTAATATAGTATCAACAACAAACAACAATGACAAACAAGAAACAAGTTCAATCAAACAACAACAACAAACAAGTTTAACCAAATAACAACAAAAAACAAGTTCAACAAAAAATAGCAAGAAACAAGTTCAACAAATAAGTTCTTCAAAATGAAAACGAAAACGAAAGCAGAATGCGCCTTTGAAGGACAAGAACACGAAAATAATCGGTCAAAACAAAAAAAAATCATACATAAAGTAGTAAATTAACATGCATTTGTATCAAATGAAAGAAAGATTACATGTGATGGTCATCAAACTTCGTTCGAGAAAAGTTTGAGCACAGAAGAGGGTCTCGCGCGCTAGGATAAAGTGAATGAATTTTCAATCTTCCGCTCAAATTTTTATTGAATTCACTAACCTTTTGACGTCTAACGCTAGGGCATTCGACATTTTATATCCTTTTATGTCCAATTACAATTCTAAATGACGTTTAATAATTGCATTTATTTACAAAAATGCCACCAGTCATTTTTAACGTTGGTTATTTAGTAGTTGGACGTTGAACGTGTGACGTTATACGTTATTTTTGCACTAGTGATTGAATTCATTAAAACAAAATTTTGATTCGAATCATATATATGTAAAAGAATTAAGTTTACAAAACCTTTGTTTCATTCTGAAATGACAAAGAAAATGTGATTAGTAATTTGGTAAAATATGTGGGATTGCTTAAATCTAGATGATTTTTATAATATGAGTATTTATTGAGTAATGTTAAGATGATACACGTTTAGTTTCATTTGATGTATATTAGAAAAAATGATAGTAAAAAACATGAAGATTTATACTTTTAGATAAAAGAAATGAATAAAAAAAAGAGTAATGTCCCGATAAAAAAATTGTGTGTATCAAATATTTATACAATGTTTTGTTCAACTATCACTTTTAATTTTTCTTTTAATTTTTACTTCACAAAGTTTTATAAAATTTATTTTCTAAATAGTATTTTATATGATTGTTGACATAAAATAACTTTTTTTTATGATTCAAATGTTTTATTTAGTCGTTGAAAGAAATATATATTTTTAAATATAGAAGCCATTTTAATTTATTTTTATACTTGATGATTTATTTAAAAAATAGTAAAATTTAGAATTACAACAGAAATGAATGATATTACATTACATTCAAACAACGCTAAACAGAGTGATCGAAGCCCTCACCTCTATTGCAAACACCAGTGTATGACTGCCTCGTTCAAACTTCAAACGAGACAACGTGTGAGAAGTCTTTGCTGCTGGAGTCACCCATGATGACTCACGAAAAAGGTCAAATTCAAAAGTCAAAAGGCCCTACTTTTCTTCTCCTATATTTTTGGACACTATTGCAAATCTAAACATGCAACATCAACTCTGCCGTTTAACTAAGAGAGGTCAAATTCAATATTTTAAAGTGTTCAAATGAAACATAAATTAATTAATAAGGAAGCGAAAAATCTGGAGAGCCCTCACAAATGCGTCTATTAATTCATTTTCAGATTTTGCTGCGCCAAATCCTAGCTTCCTTCTTTCTTCCTTTCGTAACAAACCTATAAATTCCCTTCCCCTGCAACGCAAACCATCCTTTTTCTCACTATATTTTTCACAAACCCAAAGCTTCTCCTCAATCTTGTTTCACAGCTTTCGGTCCCTAGCGAGATAACCCAAAGCTTTTAACTTCATTCTTCTATATATACATAGTTTCCATTATTTTTTTCCTTCAAGCTTTTCCCGGAAAATTTTCTGACAAAATCAACCCCATCCACCTCCCCAATTTCACTATTACAAAGCAGTAAACTTTTTCATCCAACTCGAAATGGGCGTGAAAGGTTTTGTGGAAGGAGGCATCGCTTCCGTGATCGCAGGGTGTTCCACCCACCCTCTTGATCTCATCAAGGTCCGAATGCAGCTCCAAGGAGAGACAGCCTTCCACCCTAGCTTCGTCCATGCACCGCCACCCAAGGTGGGTCCCATTTCCGTCGGCGTCAAATTAGTACAACAAGAAGGTGTCACCGCGCTTTTCTCCGGCGTCTCCGCCACTATTCTCCGCCAGCTTCTCTATTCTACCACCCGCATGGGACTCTACGACGTGCTAAAAAAGAAATGGTCTGATCCCAACTTTGCCAGTGGCACCATGCCCCTAACCTACAAGATCACGGCAGGGCTAATCGCCGGTGGAATAGGCGCAGCCGTCGGAAACCCCGCCGACGTGGCAATGGTCCGCATGCAAGCCGACGGGAGACTTCCTCCATCTCAACGACGAAACTATAAGTCCGTCGTTGATGCCATCACGAGAATGACAAAAGACGAAGGTGTCACCAGTCTATGGCGTGGCTCATCACTTACGGTGAACCGCGCTATGATAGTCACGGCCTCACAACTTGCCTCTTACGACCAGTTCAAGGAGATGATTTTGGAAAAGGGTGTCATGCGTGATGGGCTCGGGACCCATGTAACGGCGAGTTTCGCGGCGGGGTTTGTGGCTGCGGTTATGTCCAACCCCGTCGATGTGATCAAGACTAGGGTGATGAACATGAAGGTGGAGCACGGGGCGCCGCCGCCGTACTCCGGTGCACTTGACTGTGCCTTGAAGACTATGCGTGCGGAGGGTCCCATGGCTCTATACAAAGGTTTTGTCCCCACGATTTCGAGACAGGGACCCTTCACGGTTGCGCTGTTCGTCACGTTAGAACAAGTTCGCAACTTGCTTAAGGATTTCTAAGTACGAGGATGATGATGACGAAAGAAAAAAATGTTTCCATAGGTTTCATAATTATAGAGTCACTTTGAAAAAACAAATATGGAGTTTTTATTTAGTTCTTAAAGTTATTTTGCTAGGTACTATTGTTTAGTTTTAAGATTTTGTGTTATGTAGTTAAAAAATGCAGATTTAATTGGTATTGTTAACTGTTCCCTTTATAATCGGGAAACGGACAAATAATTTTCGTATACTTTTTCCTTTTCCTTTACAATTGTGCTTCTTGTTGTTGGATATCTCACTGCTCAAAGGTTGTTCTTAGTCCCGAAACTTACTTCTTCTGTTTTTGAAATGCGCCTAATTTGATTTGTGGCTCATATTTCTTCTAGGAAATAACGTTTTAAGTAAAAGTATCGGGAATGCAATGTTGTTACATTGGCCCTAATTATGGATTTCTTCTGCCTCATTCTTTATCCCCTCCTCTCGGTCAACAAACAATACAATTCAAGTATTTTTTTTTGAATATTAGAATGACATATATTTATATTTATTTTACACATTTTTATGTAGAAAAAAGTATAAAAAAGTAGCATCAAATAATTACAAAAAATTTATATGTAGCAAAATATATTTTATAACGTCGTTTGTACGGATTTAACGGAAGGGATTTCATTGATGCAAATTTTATTAAGTGAGGACGTAATTGACACATTTTATAAAAGATGGACTAATTTGACATTTTCGAACGAAAATGGGGACAAAATAGGGTATTAAACCTTACTTTTATATAAGAAAAAGAGTCACATTGAATTAAAATGTAATTAAATTATAATATATAATTAATCGTGTTTCTGCTGAATGGGACCAAGGAAAACTCCTGCTGCCTCCGCCCGGAAACACTCCTCCTCAACCGATCGGTCCTTTGCCTTTCGCTCTCCTCGCGTTCGTTCTCAGTACAAATGGGTTGACCTGCAACAAACACTCTGACGCTCAAGTCAGAATTAGCCTTTGCAAGTCTATGTAATTATCAAAGAACAGAGAGTTTACCTTCTCCTTTGACTGCTATTTATATGATTTCAGAGAATATTACCCATTAATTTACCTTTTAATGGCTTTCAATGCACATCTTAAATACTCGACAATGACCATTACCTCATTAACTATACATTCATGAGCATTCAACTGATGTCTCCAATCCACAGTTTTAGAAGTCCGTCTGACCGGAGATATTGTACTTGAGAGATCTGATCGGACATATTAGGTTGAGACACCCGATCGGACATGTTAGATTGACACACCCGATCGGACATACTAGATTGAGACACCCGCTCGGCATTGTCTAAACATTCCCGGTCGGTTACCCACCCTTGGTAATAACACAAGTTCCCCAAGCCCTAGCAAAAATACCTTTTTGCGTAGGGTTTTGAAGTGATCTCCGCTCGACTCTCCTCTTTCTCTGTCTAACTCTTGCTCTGGTGAGAAACGTAAAGTCATGATTGTAATTTTTAGGTGGGAAATGCAAAAAACGAAGTGTCAGATCGCCTGATCCATCAGATCTTTCTGTATCTCAAACGTCAAGTCACTTGGACCGTCAGATCTTTTGGCGGTTGACGCTTCAAATGTTCCAGTGGAGTCAGTTTTTATCTTTGTATAAATACCCATGTTTTACCCTAATCTTTTACTTCAGTCTCCTTGCTGTCATCAGCATCTTCTTCCACTCTGCTTCCTTTTTGTCCTTCTCGTCTTCACTTATCAGGTAACCATGTCTTCTGACTTCTCCGGCGACGAGGGTAGGGGGTATGCCGACGATGATAACGCCAATTCATCTTCGTCCCTAGTTGCCATTACAGGTACCGGCGCTCGGACTTCACCTTCCGGAAATTCCTCCGACCTCTTGGTTGACAGTGACGTTCCTGACGAGGTTGCCATCCACGTGGATTCCACCGGCGCTTGGGATGGGAAGCCTCGAGCTTGGCCAACTGTCCCCGGCTACGACTGGGTGCCTCAAGAAGTTAGACAAATTTCCTTCAACCATCACCAACCCTTCCGGGATTTAATCGGCCACATTTGCCTGGTCAAGGCGGCTGCCAGTGCCAGGCATTTTAAACTAGCCATCTGCCAGATGACCGAGCGCGTCTGCCACGGTCGGGGTGACTATCCCTCCGACTTCTTCTACGTGTATGCCACCATGTTCAAAGACTTGAAGGTTCTCCTTCCCTTCTCTGACTTCCAAATGGGTGTATTGAGAACGCTCAACGTGGCTCCCACGCAGCTTCACCCGAATGGTTGGGCCTTCATGCAAGCGTTCTCCGCCATCTACTCCGGCTTGGCTCTTAGACCAACTCCTGCAGCATTCCTTTATTTCTTTCACGTACAGCCTCACCCGTCCAAGCCTTGGGTCTCTATTCGAACGGTCGGGAACAAGCACCTGCTGTCCCTTTACAACAGCTCCTACAAAGATTTCAAATGGCACTTCTTTAAAGTCGTGCCCACGGAGTCTAGGTACCAGAGCTTCTGCACCCCCACCAAAGAGGCCAAGTTTTCCTTTTACTGGACCAGAGATCCTCAAAAGGTCCTCTCTTGGCCCAAACCCCAGATGACTCCCGAGGATCTGGACTTGATAAATCAACTTTGTCAGCTACCCCCTAAGTCCTCGTGTCGCGTTCTGATCGGTTTCCTGGGCAACAAGAACCTTCCCTCTAATGTGTTTGGTAAGCTATTTTTGACCGCCTTTTAGCGAGCAGCCATTTGTAACTTATCTGAATTTTGTTCCGCCTTGCAGATTATCTATCCAAAATGGATCCATCAAGGAACAACACCTTCGCCCGCCTGTTCGCCCAAAGGAGGGGCGAAGTACGGAAACCGGGCGGGAGCTCGTCCCCTGTCCCGTCGGCTGTTGCCACGCCGACAACCTCCCTTCCAATCCAAAAGACGTTCATTGCTCCCCCCCAGTCGAGGTTGTGACCGATCAGGCTCCCCCGCCCGAGTCTACGCACAAGAAAAAGGGGAAGCGAAAGGCCGCTCGGGAGACTTCTGCCGAGTCAAAGGAGGCTAAGAGGAGTCTGCTCGACGAGCCTCCTCTCTACGGGCTGCTGAGCTGATGACAAATTTATGGACACCGAAAAACGGCGCCAAAAACTTGTTTAACAATCGCCAAGTGTGACCGAATCGTATCAAGTAATAAAACTAGGTAAGACCAAGTATCATTTTCCCAAAGGACTCACAGCCTAGTTAGCTATATGATTTGTTGATTATTTAAGACTTGTTAACAATTGATTGTAGGTTTTAAATGCAAGAGACAATAATTAAACATGGATGCATGAATTTGATCAATGGAAAAGAGGAATACAAACACTTTAGTGAATTAGATTTTAATGAATTAGATGGATGAGTATGTTGTTGGGGTTATCAATTTCATCTTATCCAATCTCATATACTTTTAGGAATTCATCATTCTTTTCATCAATGTTAATGCCACTCTCTAAATCACCTTGCAAGAAGGCCTATCCTTAATTACGAGTTCATACAATTCCTAGTATTCCTAATAATTAATTCTGAAG